GGTATGGAGCTGTGCCGTAGCTTCAAACCAGGCGTCCACTATCGAGACACATCCATATCTCTGTCGGGAGCGGCAAACGTTGGCCCTGGGGACACACTGGGCTTTGAGATCCTCTCTCCTGCTCAGTGCAACATACGGTTCTTTGGCGACGAGACAGGCATCAGTATCCTCAGCTTGGTTTGGGTCCCCGCTTCTCTCTCTTCTTCTCTGTCTGCCTCCGTGTCTCACACCGGCCTTCCCTCAGGAGCAGTTCGAAACAAGCCGCTGTTCTTCCGCCAGACCAGTGCTCAGGTGTCCCAGATGGGGATGCTAGGGAAGGGATCCAGCGATCAGAGACGAGATTTTGTCTTCAGGGAGAGTGGCACAGCCGGTGTGGCTCTGGATCTCAAACTTATTCACTCCTGCAACCTCATCAAGGTGACTCTTCTAAGGCGAAGTGATCCAGAGGGGTCAGGAGGAGGACGGGAGGCGGAGGGTTCGCGACCTGTCACTCTGGCCCAGCAGGTTGGTGGTCAGATGCCTGAGGGAAGCCAATGGGCCAGTGTTAGCCTGCGGGTGTCTTTCCAGGTTCGTAACGGCACAGCGGTGTTCTTCACAATGGACTGCGTACGCGGACGAGTCAACCAGATCAGCTACGAAACAGGAAGCGGAGTGTCAATCCTCTGGGTGGCAGCATAACATAATAAAGACAAAACTTAACCATGTTTTTTTATGTGGTTTCCAGTTCAGTAGACCAGATGTTAAGCAATTTATATGATTGTGTAGTTTCATTGGTTTGATTTAGGAGAAATAGTTTAACATTTTGGGAAAGATGCTTATTGCTCTCTTGCCTGGAGTTAAAAGAGAATATTAAAACCACTCTCATAGCTGTCTGTTACATATAAAGCTACAGCTAGCAGCCTGTTAGCATAGCTTAGCATATAGATTAGAGACAAGGGGGGAAACGTTAGCCTGGCCTATCTCTGCTTATTAGCACATGTAAAACTCATACATTTTTGTTATGTCTTGCTTGTTTAATCCACACAAAAAGAATACAAGTCGAAACGCAATAGATTGTAGTTTTCTGCCAGGCTAGCTGCTTCCCCTTGCTCCCAGCCTTTGTGCTAAGCTAACGGTCTCCTGCTGTAGCTTCATGTTTAATGAACAAATACGAGAGCGGTAAGTTATCAACATTCTCATTTCTCTCTCAACTCTTGGAAAGGAAGTGAATAAACATGTTACGAGGGTACCCCAGGGTTTTAAAAGTGTAAAAAAAGAGAGCTTGCCATGAGTCAAGTTTCATCACCTGCAGCCCGAGCAAATAAAGTGACGCCGGTAAGGGCACAGTGGCCATGTAAATAAAGTTATGGACTGTAAACTAAAACCACCTTCCTGATATGTACAGTTAGCTGAACTAGCAAGCATTATCTGGTGGAAAGTAACTAATAACATTTACTCAAGTACAACTAAAACATACTGTACTTTACTCAAATAAAAATTTGAGGTACTTGAACTTTCCTTGAGTATTTATATTTTCTGCTAATTTACTGTATACATCTGCTCTACTACATCTCAGAGATACTTTTTTAACATACTATATTAATATATCAATAAGGCTTTTGTCGTCTAAGTGGTATTAAAAAGGCCTTAAAAGTATTACATTTAACCTGCACAACCCTGGAGGTACCCTGAGTACCTACATTTGAACTATTCCTTTAAGCTGCTTTGTAGTGAGTAGCCTACAGCTAATTTGACTTTTTTATAATTTGTGTAAAAAAAAGCTCTAATATGACTTTTATTTTAAAAAGTAGCATTAAGCATCAATCATTGTATTTATATCAATGCGAGTATTACTATTTGAAGGGCCTATTCATTTCTACCGAAGTAAATGATGACTCTAAACTATTTCTCACGCTTGAGTCTTCTGCTTTTTCATGTGCTGTACTTCTGTCTTTTATTTATGTAATTCAATTACTCTGTTGACGCCAAAAGACCTCCAGCTTATCCCCACTGTGACTACAGCATTTTCTGCTGTCACCATAAGCGGTTGACTGGTGCTGCTTTCATTCAGGAGTGGGTTTTTTTAAGAGCATGTGTTTCATGTTAGCCGCCATTCTTCTAATGTGAATATCTACTGCAGTGCATGCCTTGTTTAATGACCACTTTCTGCATTTCATGGACTTAAAGAGAGTCATGTGTCTCACTAAGGACTCGTTGACACTAAACTGTCCTGGAAAGACAGCATGCTGTCTTGAATATTAACACCTTAAGATATAGTCACTGTTTACTCAAACTAGACTGTAACTAAGTGTATATTTGATGTTTTATATTAAATAAAAATAAAATTGTTTTGCTGGATTTTTTTGCGGCTGCACTCGTCTCATCCCCAAAATCTCCCATATAGAGACTTTTCAGTTCATTAAACATGTTTCATGTTTTATTCAGCGTTTGAAAGTACTTCGCTTCACCCTCTCGTGTCACTGCTGATTGCAAGAACCAAGATGGCGACGGCCAAAATCCCGAACTCGAGGCTTCAAAATGGCAGCAGACCACAAACCAATTGGGTGACGTCATGGTGGCTATGCCCACTTTCGCCACACAAAGTATGAACAGCGTATTCGTTTGTGATTTCGAACAGAGCCATAAGCTTACATGTACTAATCCTATCATGAGATGTGCCACAGGACAAAACGTGGAGACTGAATTGAACATGTTTGCTCCAGGCAGAAGCTGCCAGGTGTTTCCTATTACACATCAAAGAACAGAGGTTCTCTATCATGCATTCAAACAGTTGAAATTATATTAGCCGGGTAGTTAACCTCCTAATGGCCTTCCTACGCACGTCCACCGACATCCCCTCTTATTCTTAATGTGCTGCTGCTCTGCTTTGGCACAAGATCAAAAAGCGTATTACGAACCTGGGCATATGTTCTATGAAAACCAGTAGACCAGTTGATGTTATAGTTTCAGCCTTTGAAGCTATGACCCCAGGTTAGTGTGTGTTATAGATTATTCAATAAATCATGACTTTTAGGGAATTAGTGACATTATTATGCAGGTTTGTGTCTTGAAGGTGCTGGAGTCTCTGGGATCAAAAGAGTGCCGACACAACCATTTCCCGCTCCAGTCGTCTAATTCTCTCTAGTTCAAGGTTGCTTGACCAGATTTTACTATGAATAAAGCATGAGCTGCACAGTTTATAAACTAAGCCTTGTGAAAAACCTTTGTTAGAAACTAGACGGAAGACAACAAGCAGACCTGAGTCGAGTGACAAAAGAGAAAGAAAGCGTATCATGAGACAAATTAAATTAAATTCTGATGGATGACTTGCTGGGTGAGTTATTGTGGTCTGACGATGATAAATGCTGAAGGAAAAAGGTCAGAGCCCCACAGGATAAAGAGTGGGGCTCTGTCTGGCAGGGCTAGTTGCCCTTACACATTAGCACTCTGGGTAATAGAGCACAGATGGAGGGAAAGACAAGCGTATGAGTGTGTCGAGTTGGTGTGGGTGTGTCTTTAGGAAGGGCATAGGTTGTTTTGTATGCATGCATGATGGAAACACAGATGTTAATGATTAGGTCCTACCTAGAAACATTATCACATTGCTTTGAGAATTTCTTCGGGATTCTCTGCCAATTTTCACAGCCTCCATATGCAAAATAAATCATATTGAATGCCATAACACTAAATTATAACAAGTGATATACTTAAAAGGAGCAAGATGATTTAGTCCATTAATCTGTGAAGTCTTGCATCATGTTCCATGGGGATTGTACGGAAATTATTAGGGAATGAGGAGAGTCATGAAAGGGGAATGCTGTGAACAGTCTGACATTTTTAAGAATGGAAGAAATTGTCCGTGCAAGTTTTTCTTTTTTTTTAGATTAATTGCAAAAAAAAGATGCTTGATGCTTTTCCTCTGTGGGTGATTAATCTTGAATAGAGTTGTAGGCTACTAACTTAATACTTTTATATTGAGATATTAGGTGAATGGTATTGCAGTTTTCTATTCTTATTAGGTGGAGGATATTGCAGTGTTTTTTTAAGATTTACACTCCGCACCTCTGTGTTATATTAACAGGCATGTGTGGTGCACACAGCCCTCTCAGCCAGAGAGATAGGCAGGCTGCCAAAGTGTAGCATGAGGTGGCCGTAGGGGCTACTGGGCTGCACATGGTGCACAGACTGTGGATATACAGGTAGCAAGAATGTGCATAAAGCAAGGTTTTCTTCAAACTTTGCCCGTCATACTGAAACAACCATTACATCAAGGAATATGAAGTGAAAGAAAGATACAGAGGAGGAGTGGGAGAACGAGAAGTAGAAAGCGGGGGGGGGGGGGGGGGAGAAAGTGAGAAAGTGAGAAATCTGCATCTGGAAGCAGTTCTCACTTGTTTTTAACTTTTTTCCCCTCTTATCTGCTTTTAAGGCGCCCCACTGTTTCTGCGCTCTCTATGAAGTCTAAATGTTTTGCTCTAGATGTCGTAAAAAAACCAAAACACTTTTATATGGCTTGGGTTATGAAGCCACCACAACTAAACATTATGAAGCGATAGGCACAACAATACATCTTACAGTCATTTTAGCAGACGCTTTTATCCAAAGCGACTTACAATTCAGAGTCTATCACATTTCTACACCGTAGGCACAGCTACGGGAGCAATTTTGGGGTTGAGTGTCTTGCTCAAGGACACATCGACATGCGACTAGCAGAGCCGGAGATTGAACCGCTGACCCTCTGATTGAAAGACGGCCCTGCTATCCACTTAGCCGCAGTCGCCCCTCATCTTTAACATCAGAGCAAAATGTTTAGAATAATACCAAAATGTTCAAGAAACAGTAGCATACAATAGGTTGTGCAATTATTAAGAATATTATACAATTGATTCCCCTATGATTTCACCAACTGTCATTTCTTCCTGAAATGCACAACATACAATACAGCTTGTGGTGAACTACTGCCCTCTACAGGATATAAAAAGAACAATCTTATTTTGATGGAAAAAATACATTACTGCATATGTATGCCACATTATTTTAATGCCATTACAACAGATTAACAATAACTTCTTTCAGAATTTACTGTTTTCATTTGCTATATGACAATACGACTGTAGATATCAGTCTTATACATTTCTGTTATCTGGGGTTTAAATATAAATTATGCTATAATTCCATACATGGGTGCAGACAGTGCTTATCAGTGGTTGTCCTACAGGGCAAAACATCTTTTTTAATGTTATCATCGTCTAAGGACGCTAAATGCACAATCATGTCCAAGTTTTACACAATTGTTATGTAGGACTATAACTGTAGTAAATCTAAATGGAGTAAACCGTCTCATAAAGTGTGTAAACGTGAGAAGCAGCATGTTAGCTGTGACTAAAAATAACACTACAAACAGTTAAAAATCCCACATGACATTTAGGGACGTGGTTACAAAAACCCAAATACTGCATACTTAAAAAGAGTGTAAGCTTTTGATATCAGGGTAATATATTCATGTATAATTATTTCTCTAGTGTACACAGATATCAGAGATCAAACGTGATAATTCGGCACTTAAGTGTCGAGTGTTGCAGCAAAAAGTAAATTGCATCGCTATCATCTTATGAGAGGCATCTTTGAGGCAAATGGTTAATGGATGATGATGAGACAAATGAGTAAGGTGTCAAATATAAGCGGCCATATAATTTATGTTGAGCAGCAGCTTAATGTTTACAGCCGTGGGATACGCTTGAAATGGTGGACTACAGCTGAAACATGACAAAGACTGTGAAGCTGTTGATTGTGAATAAAGAACTGGACTAACGCTATTCATTTGGATAAATACATTAACACGATGCTCAGCTGCACAAGTTCCACATACATTCAACAATGCTGCTGTAATATTGGTAAAGGATTAAATTCATTGTATGTTGGAATAAAATAGTTAGAGAAGTGTATCCAAAGACTATGAATGTAAGTTTACCATTTAGAAAACACAGTATAAGATAATGAGTTGGTTTTTGGTCCATGCTGCAATGAGAACTGACTGTCACAAAGACGTCCACGAAGGGAATGAGTAAGAATAGAAAAAAGGAGTATAAAGAAGAGGAGGAAGGGTGAGAGAGGAAAGACTGTGTCACGATGGTTAAATAAGGCCTGTAGGAAGGAGGGGGGAAGTTTTAGTGCAGGATCTCGATGAGGAGGCGTTTGAAGTCTCCACCACACTCTGAATCCAGAGCGTCTTTCAGGGTGACATCGTATTTCTCCAAGTACATGTCCTTCACTGTCTCCAGGTCGATCTGTGGGTTAACAAGATAGCACTGCTGTCACAACAAAATCCCCCTTTTTAACAGCTGTTTTTTTTTTTTTTTTTTTTTTTTTTTAAAAATGGGATTGAACATGAACATGGCCCTAGAGCACATTTAAGACCAAAGTTTAGTTTGGGTAATCTGGAAATAAGTTAGACGTTTGACTAGCCTCAGAGCGGCCTACAATCATCCGAATGAGTGCGTCTTCATCGGTGCCCAGTCCCTTCATGGCGGCATTAATGCGTCGGGCAAAATACAGCTGCGGGTTCTTAGCACACCTGACTTTAAAACACACACAAAAGCAGGAGGTGTTATTACAAGAACTGATATTTGATTTTTCATGGCCGTTGAAGAATTACAGTATAACCCACCCAGAGTTGTGTAGCACTCCTTCAGAGTTCCTGTTGCTTCAGAGTCAATGGTGTCCAAAATGTCTGTTCCTGAAAGCTGCAAGTTTTTTAATTATAAGTTAACATGATAACTTATAATATTGATAATGATGTAGCCCATTAGAAGCGTTTTTTCCCTTACCGACTCATAGATCTTAAAGGTGGCCTGAAGCTGCATGTAGTTTCTGTTTGTCAGGATGAAGGTGAAAGTGGACTCATCTGTGCCAAATCTGCCTTCTCCTGCCTGACAGTCACAGAGGAGGAAATAATGCAGCAACATTGAGTATTAAGGATAATTCCTGTTTTATTACAAACTTGTGTTTGCCAACCCCAGACCTCAGCATCGCACTGGTTCCCCACATCACTGTCTCTGCACACATTTATATATTTGTACAGAGTTATCAGCATGAAATTTGAGATGAAGCTTCACACCTTAGTTGTGAATTTCCACAAAAATCCCACAATCCTGTTCTGTAATTAAAAACCACACTACAGCATAACCACAAAAACAAGCTTTGATTTAATAAGATCTGTACTTGTGAGATTTGCCAGTCATCCTGGGCTCACATGCTCGAACATCTAAATCTAGGATCACATTACCATTATCAAAATACGGGTATTATTTAAACGGCAAACTCTAGTTCGAAGGAATCGTGCAGCACCTCAGAACGTACCTCAAACAAAGATGTGGCATCCTGTTCGGCTAAACCCTCATCCACTTCATAGCCCTCTTCTCTGCTTGCCTACAGATATGAGAAGAGGGGGACACAGAGATACAGAGGGGAAGAAAGGTTTAAGTGGATGGATAAGGGAGGCGATGCACGTATAGAGAGTGAGGGCAAATGTTTAGTGAGGTGAGGAAAGGTCAAAAAGATGGATTACTAAATAATCTCAGGCATTTAATGGGATAACAATCATCTGCTCCACATCAATTGGAAATCTTTGAAGGCCTCTTTGGATAGACGTCGCTGTAGAACATGAGTCACACTGCGTTTGTCTTTTTGTTCTGGGGGAAGGAAGCGAGAGAGAGGGGAAGCAGAAACGGTCTGGGAGCGCTGAAAAAGTTGGCATAGAGGCCGAAGCATGCCAATGATGTGACGAACGTCTCAGTGGGCGAACCACAGCATGGACAACAATTGTGAGAGCCATTATCAAAAGGAAGCAAAGTTGTGTTCTTCTTCTCTTTATGGCTTCCATCCAGATTCAAGACTTCCACCTAATTGTGCTTGAAAATATGGAGACTTTTTTTCTTCTTTGTGTAGTGCAACTCCCCTTGTCACCATCAATGCTGGAAGTGTCATTACTGTTTAAATAAAGTCAAAAATAAAGAGTCTTCACCTGCAGCAGTGACATCAGCAGGTTCCTCACGTCTCCACTGGTGTCATCCTCAATGTCTGCCTCCAGTTCACGCTCATGCACTGTCAGGTAAGAGGCAAATATAATGCTATTCTTTACACCATCAGCACATGTACAATATCTGTATTAAATTCCTAAAAGCAGAGTGCTAAAACATATTTTGAAACACCCACAACATTATGACACATATATAACTTGGTATGTATTCGTTCCACATGCTGGTTGAGTTACGAGTCTTTTCAGTATGAGAGGAACATCCTATTGTTAACAGTTTGTAAGCTACATGACTCATTATGGAAGACAACTCACCCTTTGCATAAGTGTCCTTGAAGCACAAGATGTCCTGTTAGAAGTAAAATAAAGATGACACTGTCAACAGCGAAAACAAATAGTGCGTATCCGCCTTCGTGATCCAGATCCACCACAAACTGTAATGGGTTCTTTCTTGGCTCGTGCTACAAGCTTACATAAAGTTTCATGAAAATAGGGCCGGTAGGTTTTTCCTTAAGTCTGCTGATGAACAAACAAACATAAACAATAAAATAATGACCTCCACACAGCTTAAGTTACTCCGTTTTATTGACTAAATACATTTTTTAAAACTATAATAACCTATCATATTATTATATTGAACCTTTTAAAAACCAGATGTAAGAATACCTTATTAGAATGTGGTAGCCAAAATGGAGCCCATACCAGAATGTTTTCTTTGAATAGAAACTCAACTGGCAGTGACTGCATAGACACCAAGGCATGAAAATAGAAACATGTAGTATTAAAGAATAGTATCAAATATTGACAGACCTGATTGGTGGCTGTGCACAGGATCTCTACCAGTACATCTTCGTCCGTCCCCGCCCCCTTCATGGCCTTCCTCAGCTCCTTGGCGAAGAAGATATGAGGAGACTCCAACATGGCCATGGTGGCATTCTCAAAACTACCTGTCAGCTCCTTCTTCAGGACCTCCTCCAACTCCTGAACAAAGACAGAATCAACTGCATGCATGTGTGCGAGTGTATCTAAGAAAGAGAGACAAGACGTGGAGGCAGGTACTTACGTCATCATACTTCTCAAAGTAGGCCTCTTTGATCTCCACGCGCTGAGCTGCAGAGCGATTGGCCAAGATCTGAATAATGGGCTCTTCATCTGTGCCTGGAGAATATACAGCAGCGCGCACACACACACACACACACACACACACACACACACACACACACACACACACACACACACACACACACACACACACACACACACACACACACA